TACATGATATGTTTGCATTGTCAGGTATGTTCATTGATTGATTGTGTTGACTTTGACTTAATTGATCTTGTCAGATAATATACTTGTATTGTTTTCCTACTGACTAATTTATTTAATTTAATTCTATTAGTTTTAAAGCTTGATTATTGCCAAATTTTTTTATTTGACTTAGCTGGAAAAAATGCAGCTTTGGCAATAATACAGTGTTGCAACTATCAATTGTGTATGATGTGATAAATTTTTATTTTAGTTAACAATATTTATTGTTGCAAAAGTTTCAACTGAAAATGTGATTTTTGCATCTTGAATATTGCAAACTTAGTTTTTAATTTTACTTATTGTAGTTAATTTATTTGGTGCAATTTAAAGCTCCTATGTAAATAAAGATAATTATTAAAGATACGTAGTACCTAATTTGCAATCTTTTTATAAATACCTCATCATATGATATATCTATTTTCATTGGGTTGTTGTGTTTTTTGCAGCTATAAAGACCCTTATTATAATTAACTACTAATAGAAAATTAATCACTTGATGAACTTCAATATTTCAATATTGTAAATTAGAAATTGATGTAAAACTTGGATGGCATAAACTGCAACAGATCAATAGGAAATAGAGAAATTAGTTTAATGATGATAATAAACATTTTGTGAAAGAATTTATTACTTTTCATAATAATGGCTGTTTTCATTGATTGATTCTTGATACTCTGGCTTGATTAAATTTGCAAAAATAAACTGGCCAATCAATTTTGTAAGCTTCTCACAAATTTTTCCTAGATTTGTGTAGATTTGTAGCGGTGTTTCGGTTTTGATTAAGTCTTTAGACTTTTCTATTCTTTATTTCCATGAAAAAGAAGCTGTAAAAATATGAGACACTATAGATATAATGTAACTTTAGGTCTTGGGAAATGATAAAAAAAAGACAAAAATAAGGGAAATGTAAAAAAAGGACAGGTTTAGGGTAATTGTAATGGAAAGGGGAAATGATTCAAGAGGAAAAAGGTGTTGGGTAGTGGGAAAAATACAGAGTTTTAAAGTCAGGAAATAGCAAAATAGAAAATTTCCCCAAAAAAATATCTTTTCTTGGCAGAGTGTCTCATAAAAATATTTTTGCTCTATATATGGCCAAAAAAGGAAACAAAATACTGGACCTTTGAGAAGGCTAAGTAATTACTTTAATTTAAGATCATATTCTGGGCTTTCAAGTATGGACCTAAGCCAATCTACATACACATCTGCATAGTCTAATCAAGTATCGACTCGTTTATTTTAATATCTTAAACTTACAATGAAACAGTCCCAAAATTTAGGCAAGATTTGTCTATTATTTACAAAATGCAGTGCAGTAAAAGTAACAGGAGAAATTCATCAACAGTTTGTTTATCTTTTTTGATGATTTATTGCATATAAATGTCATCTTACCAGAATCTTCTGCCACACAATTTTAGCAGGCAGCTTCCAGTCTGTCTGTGCCTCATTTTATGGTCAATAAATGAAGTAGGTTCGCTAATTGATTCTCTTAGTAAAGCAAAGTACTTGAGTGGTTAATTAATTGTCAGTATTTCCTTATATGGTACGACTCCGTAAGTGTTTCATTTTCAGGATTTTTATTGTGGAGATACTTTGTAAGGAAAGTGAGAATTATGGTGATGGTTCTGGATTTAATTTCAGTGCGTATATGTACAAGATAAAGGGAGATAACTTTAATTGTACTATGATGGATATATTTGCCACTCAGTGTAAGAAACTTGGTTTTTATCCTGATATTAGTACTTTGAATGTTTTAATTAATATAAAAAGTGCAACGAATATAATATAGCCAATACAGCTTATGGTATGGCCCATATGATCATTGTTTTCTATGATTCTATTGACAGTAACAAATGAAAGTGTCTTGGTTATAAAATCTCTTTCAGCAATTAATCTGCCAAATTTTATAATTGATTTTCATTGCTGTGAATTAATAACAGTTTAAAATACAAATTTGAGCTGCCCACAGTATAGAGCCAAGTCAGACTGCATACAGACATGCAAGCTGGCCTGGCTCAATACTGATGGCAAACGCTAATCACTTTCAGTTCCAATGGTTTTAGGTGTCTGCCTCTTAACTCAGGGATCATGGGTTCGAGCCCTAATCAGGTGATTCAGGTCATGACCATGTTTCTTCATATGACACCTATACTGGTTGATTCTGGGAAGTGGACTCAAACATGATTAATATATTTTGCAAGAACTTGTTTCACAATTGAGCTTAAATAAATAGTTATGTTTAAGGGTTAAGAGCTAGTAGCACTAAGCAGCCTCAGATTCAGAGCAATTTGTCTAAAGGGTTGATATATTCAGCTGTGAAGTGTATTGTTATTATTAGGATGTGCTGAATTGTACATAAAAAAGTGATTTTACAAGAAACTGAATACAAAAATAGAATATAAGATATCATCAACAAAGGAGAATGATTGGCAGCCATATATAGTAAACCTGTTCTGAAACACTGTAAAAAGGCAATTAGTTTGTTATTTCTGCCCTATTCTAGCTGCGAGTGTTGCTAAATATGAGCAACACAACTGACATTAAAAGTTATTTCTTAAGACAGTAACTGCTTTTGTGTCAGAAGGACCACTGTTATAATGTGGTTGATTTACTTTGAAATAATGGGGTGAAAAAAACAACTTATTTTCTGGAAGTAATGTTAACTCTTTTTTTCTCATTCAACTTTAATTTTAACTTTTAATAAGATTTTAAAAATTTTAATCATTTAAGAAGAATGGAATTTTCATGTGTAAAATGGGGGAAAAACTTGTTTTGTTCAGATATTATTAGAGTTTTGTTCAGATATTTCTAGTGAAACTTTGTACTCGGAAATGAAGTGTTTAAACGTTGATATTTTATGTTTAAACGTTGATTGAAAATGAATTTTCTAGAGAATTGAAAGAGTTTCTTGTAATTGTGTTACCAGCTTGCGATTATTACATGAAAATGCACTTGTTCATATTGTAATTGAAAAATAGAATTATGGAAAATTGGAAGAGATTTTAAGGGGGAAGTTTGATAACAAGTTGTTTCCGCTATCTGCTAGCAAGCTATCTGCGATAGCAACGGTCTAGAAGGATAAAAAGGGAGATTGTACCTCGGGAAATGTCTTATATTAAAAAAAAAAAATTGAATTTATTTTATACTTGGCTGCTGTGTAGGTTTTCAAGTTTGATAAGAATGCTCAGTTAATATTATATGGAGGGAAAATCTATAATAAAGATATTGAGGAACATTTAGATTTGAGTGAAACATTTGCGATGATGTGCATTTGTTAGGTCTGGTGTTATATTTACGCAGCCCTGTGGGAAGTACACTCAATTGATTATAATACAGACAGACAGACGGACAAAATTGATCATTATCTGTATAAATACAATGTAGGCAGTGTTGAAATTAAATGTTCAAATTAGTTTGGGGTTGTTTTTTGAAGTGTTTGAGTAATGGTTCATTGATGATAAGTAAGTGAAAGTGAAGATTTAAGCGATATTTCTGTGCGAAATTTGGAGTACCTGTATATACTGTTTATAGGATAGTGTATGTATGTTTCAGGACTTTGATGGATTATTGCCATACCTGTAAGTTGACTTGATGAGAATGTGCAAGATGTATCTTCAAGTTGCATGCCTCCAAATGAGTGAACAAATTTGAAAGAAATTGATTTCCAGAAGGAAAAAATATATGAATGATTGTTAAAGGAACTGTTAACGAATTCACTATGCAAACGACAAATAGAAATTAAGCATGCTTTTGTCCAAAATTTAAATTTACTATTGACATGGATCTGGAGGGATGCTTCTTTAAGACACTTAGCCTGCTGTTGGCAGCTGATTCTACCCATGCAACCAGTGCAGACCAAGATCAACTGGCATGTTAATAAACCATCTGATCATGGTCTGCCCTGTTTGCTATTCTGTCAACACTTTTCCCTTAAAATGATGACGGGTTTTGGAAAAAAAAAACGGGTTTTGTCCAAATCGTAAGATGGATAAGTCCATTTAAGATATTACGTGTGATAAGGATTGAAGGTGTACTAATACATTGTATTGGAATCTAAAACATAGATGCTGCATTTTGGTATTCAACATTAGTCTGCTTTATATTGACATAATGAAATTTTATACAATTTATAACAGCAACCAATCTTCACCTGCTACATCTTGGCATTTTCAGATTTTACACAAAGGTCTAACTAATCTTTAAATTGGCAATTATGGAGGTCCTGAAATTTTACATATTGTTGATAGCTTAATTAGCTAGCATTTGCCTTATTATGTAATGAATCATTTTAAGATTATAAATGACCTGTATGAACTATTTTATATGATTAATTACAATGTATGCTGTATAATACATGGTATGCTTAATGATGAGGAAGTGCTTATGTTTTAACACACAATTGCTGAATAAAATCATGTAATGATCTATTCTTAAACTTTGAAACAATAATAGGTTTATTTACTGGATTTTTGCTAAACTCTTTGTGGAAAGGGTCCGGTCTGTACCGTTTGGAATTTTTTGTGCAGTGAATTTAGATAAATTTGGATAAAAGTAAGTTGCATCAAGAGTAAAATATGTATATTGTTACCGGCACAGGCGTTCGACACATTTGCCATGCCAATAATGGTCAAATTATCAGGAAAAATACCCCTTGATCATCAAGAACAAAATTACTATCCAGCACCCGTTTACTATATAAAATATATAATACACTTTTATGTAGGAAACACTGGTGCTGGATAGTAATTTTGTTCTTGATGATCATGTGATAATTTGACCCTTTTGGCATGGCAAATGTGCTGAACGTCTGTGCACAGTCACATATAAAAATACTGTCATTTTGGGGGAAAATAACTAAGACATTTGTAATAGGTACATAATGGAAGCAGTTAATGAAGATCTATGATAATTTATGATAGTTAATGATAGTTTATGATGATTTATGATGTTTTTATGTTTTTCAGGAGGAGAATTAAAGGTACTACGAAGGTCAGGGACACTTGCCAATGGTAGCCATGGTGACCTTAGACAGCCAGGTAATATTTTTAACACCATATAAAAAGCATTTTATATACAGCTAAACCTGTGTGGAAGACCACCTTAAAATAAAGCTTTATACAGTTAACCTATCTCTAAAGGCCATCATCATGATACTTTTCTCATTTGATAAATAATTGTACAAGAATACACTTTTTAAAACGCATTTGTTGTCAAAGAGCAAATCTCAGAATCTCAAAACTGATCCATATAGACAGGTTTGACTTATTAGTACTAACTACTAAGCAAAATAAATTTCGAGATTTTAATATGGTAATGGATTCTTTTTCCGAAGAGTCAGAATAAAAATTTCTTTCCCTCAGCTTATCCAGCTAAAAATTATTAATCTAATGTACCTTTCACAAAATTTCCAGTGATAGAAGGCATCATTTTCTTAATTATTGTGTGACTTAAATTGATACTTCAGTGTATAATCCCAGCAACTCTAATTGGATTTGCTGTCTTGGAAATTGTGTTAAAACTTAATAGTAAACTTTAAAAGTAAATTGTACTGCACTTTCTAACAAAAAACCTAATTGTTTGGTATTTAGCACGCACAATGATATAATTGAATTTCAAGTAATCTTGATGATCTAATAAAGGGAGGCAATACATGTAACATTATGAAGTTGAGCACATATATATATATATATATATATATATTATATATATATATATATATATATATATATATATATAAAGCTGCCCAAAGTTATTGCAGGCAAGGGTCAGAAATAAAGTACAGTTTCATCTTTTCTGATTATCAAAAAAAATTTTTCTAAAAAGTATATACAGTAAACTCCGCTTATAACGAACTCATTGGGACATTCAAAATCTGTTCCTTATATCCGGAGTTCCTTGTAAGCATATAGCGAATTAGTTCCTTGTATCAGGAGTTTTTATAGCGAACAGATTTACATATAACGAACTGATTGTTAAACATCGTCTGCCATTTTTAAGAACATTTGATTTAGAATAATAAGTCATTTATTTCTTTTTTAGACACAATACACGAGAGTGTACATTTTGGAATTTGAAAATCATTTGCTATTTCAGTTTTAGTTTTACTCCCTTTCTCAAATTTTCATAAAAAATCATATTTTCTTTCTTAACTCAGTGCTTTTCGTTTTCTTTCAATGAATGAGAATAAACCAGATTTTCCATTTTTCTTCCTTTTATATTGAATATCTTCTATTATATTTTAAGGGTGACTTGAACTTATGAAATATATAGATTTCTTTTCATTTCAATCAAGCATACTTTGTAGTTTTCTATGGATTATGTTTGCAAGCATGTGTGATTATGTTGAAAACCGATAATTATCTTACCTGAGCAAAACTATTAAAGAAAAGAAATTATAGAATAAAAGGAATTACCGTTTTATCTTTGTGACAAGAACTCAAGCTAAAAATATCCAAAATAGAAAACTATCACATACTTCTACACAAATTCATTTTCATATATTGAATTACATACAACAATAAACGGTACATTCAACGAAAGTTGAAATGCGGGATATATTTGCGGATAGCCGATATTTGGAGTTCGTTATAAAAGTATAATTTTATGCACTTTTAACTAAATTGGGACTAAGAAATGAGTTCCTTATAAGCGATAATTCCTTATAACCGTGTTCGCTATAACCGTATATTTTTATATTAAATAAAGAAGGGCAAAATTTGGGCCAAAATAAATTGTTCCTTATAACCGGAAGTTCGCTATAACCGTGTTCGCTATAAGTGAAGTTTACTGTATTTTATCTTTGGATTTTGATCGACCAAAAACTGACGCAAGTTGTTGTTGTCTTTTGATATTATGTGATAATGTTTAGCCTTGACTTGTGCACTTCACCACAAGCTTCTGCTAATGTTTGATGTGTATAAACAATAATTAAAATCTAATTTGTATAATGTCAATTACTATAAAGTTTGGAATGTGTAGTATTTTTCGTTTGACTTGACCTATAAAGTTGTACGGAAAACAGTTTGAAATGACAGTCGCTGAATGCCCTCGGGCCCTTGAGACATATCTATGTAAATTAAAAGATTCAAGCTTTGATAGTGTGTGGCCTGCACAACTGTTGGTGAATCATGGTTTATAAATAAAACAAACTTTTAAGATGTTTATGATAGTAGTACATAATGTACATTGTATGTAAATTTAATGTGGTCCACTTTGTATGATGGGTTACCGCCCCTTAATCTTTGAGATGATTTTGATAAGTATGCAGAGATCTTCCTCAAAATCCACTAGAAAAGTCTTTTATTTAAAAGAAAAAAGTTTTGTAAGATGAGAAAAAACAGAAATCATGTCAAAGCAATGTGTCTCATGGCCAGCCATATATAATGTACACATCAAAGTGACTACATACTTTATCTATATATTTGATCACATGATTTTTGGGGAGAAACACTGCAGGAAAGTGGTCTTAGGGGATGCATTCAAATTGACAGATCAAATAGGAAAAAGTCCCCAACCAGCCAATAGTGCCTGTGTCATTTCTAAGTAATTACTTACATGTATATGTTTTGGAGTTGTTTCATCTGGGCTGTGTTTTTTGTTGTCGTTTTTTAGGGGGAGGTGGGGGAGGTTGGTAATTTCTGTTCTTTGTATTGTCATTTAACTTTAATGCCTTTACTTTTATTGTAATGAAATATATATACTGCTGAGTAAGTAATTAAGTACTTCAATATTGGTTTGTCAAACTTAAGCCAAATAGCCTGTTTCAGTTTTTGAAGCCTTTGTCTAACATTATTATGTGCCGGTGTTCAGAGAACACAACACTTTCTTTCATAGTTTTTACAGTCTAATCACACATAGAAGAATTGAGAAGTTTAAGATACCCAGTGATTCAGTGACACTAGACAGTACATCAATGAAGACAGATAAAATTGGGTTTGAATTAAAATTTTATAATTTAATATACATTGTACACTAACAAAGTTTGCACTCTTGCCCTATGCTACGACCGGATGTAAACAAAACGTTCGCACAGGGCATGCGCGGTGGTTAAATCCCACCCATTTTATTCGATTAAATTCTAGAACAGCCTCTACTTTCGGTTTCAATTTTGCTGACAAGGAACAGTTTGAGTCAACGTAAGTGTTAATTTTAATTGCTATGTCCAAAACTTTGCACTATACGGCGTAATTTTCATACATATCTGGTATTATCATCGTCATGGTAGTTTTTATTCCAGTCGGTCAAAATGACGGTACACATTTACATGTGAACAAACGGATTTAACTTCTCAGACAATTTAAATAAGAAATGGACACACGGTAAACTCTGTTGCAACGTAAAGTATATTCATAAACCTGTTTGAGAAAAATTGTCTCCGTGTTCAAATAAATTTCAAAAAACGGGAAAAAAGCAGTCTTTTACCGATACCCTGCAACAGAACCTTATTATTCTGACGAATTAAATTGACTTTATAACGCTCGTATACAATTATTTATTGATCGATTTTCATTATATTTATTTTGTAATACCTATCATTCAATATGCAATCAAACAAAACCAAGTTTTCCTACATTCAAGGAAATTGTAAGTAAGGACGAGCTTTCAAATCGAACAGGTAGCAATTTCCAACACGCTTACCGAAACTCCAACATGGCGGCTCAACTTGGCTCATTTGCATAATTTATTCATAAACGCAGGAGCATAGAACTTTGTTAGTGTTGTAAAAGGGAGAGAACACTTAATTTCTTAATTACTTTTATGAATTGCCTTCGCTTTATGGTCAAAATTGTGTCCATATTGTTGTCTATGTTACAGTAAATCATAAACTACTTGCTTGTTTTTTTAAATGACATGCCTGTGCCACCAGTAAAGTGGCTGCCATTTTAGTCAGCTCATTCATGTATGACAAGGCTCTAAAGAGCGTTGTGATATTGACATTTTCATATTAAAATCAGGACATTAGTTCAGTATTAACCCCTATCTGGCTAAATAGCTTAAATTGACTTGTCCATCTTTCAGTCTGGACAAAACCATTCATCATTTGTAGGGAAATTTTCAAAATTCTTTCCTACAGTGAAATTTGAATTTTTCCACCTTAAAGTTCGTAAATCTGGCCTTCTACTGAACTGTGGATTTATTTCTTTACATGATGTTCTGACCCGTTAGTCACATTGTTGGCAAGAAAAACATAACGTTTAACATGTTTTTTTCCTTGTTTTACAAGTGTTTACATACTTTCTTTACACATAGTCAAAGGGGGAAAAATGTCAGTGCTCAAGTCCTCTTTCACCGTGCAATCATTTGAGCCGTGTCACGACAAAACCAATATAGTGCGTTTGCAACCAGCATGGATCCAGACCAACCTGCGCATTCGCGCAGTCTGATCAGGATCCATGCTGTTCGCTATCGGTTTCTCTACTTATTATAGGGTTGGTAAGCGAACAGCATGGATCCTGATCAGACTGCGCAGATGCGCAGGCTGGTCTGGATCCATGCTGGTCGCAAACGCATTACGTTGGTTTTGTCGTGAAGTGGCTCAATTTTTATTTTTCAATTCTCATGAATTTTTCATGTTTTTATCCAGAACCTAGAATATCTTTCTTTGTCTTAAAATTGAAAACAATATAGTTGTCAGAAGCATTCATTTTATGTTTTTTTTTAAAAAGCTTAGTGACTGAGCATCACTGTGTTCTCTCTCAATTTTTAAGGCGGTGGGGGGGGGGGGGGGAAACTTGTCGAGCAAGTTTTAGCCTGAACAAAAAATGAATAAATTGACATGATATGAAATAAAGGAAAAGGGAAACTTTGAAGTGCTGAATATGAAAAGAAAAGGTTGTCATATTAGAATTATTTCATATTGGATTTTATTAGAGTATACTATTATTATGCTATATGGTCTCGCCTTGTGGCTGAGGGGTTGCCTTTAAGGGTTGAGGCATCAGAATTGCAGCCACCGTTTATCCCTGCATGATCGTAAGTGGCAGCTAAATAATTCAAATTACTGGAGTAAGTAACAGTCTATGTATTGGTGGGAGTA